TTACAGCTTAAGGATGTAAGCTGAGAAAATAAAGTGTTCAGTGTGTTTAAGTGCTTCGTCACTGAAGTATATTCTGGCATACGGAGAATGTACAATTTCCTCTTAAGGAAAATTTTATTATGCAATGATGTGACCTTGTACAGTTTGGTATAATGATCCCATATCTCCTTACCTGTCTTCTTCTCCTCGATGCTTGACAATACTTCATCTGCTAATGCTAGATGAAAGTTTGCCATAACATTCCCATCTATTTCGATCCATTTATTGTCATCTGTGAAATCTATCAGCCTTTCACTGATAGCTGTTAGACAACCGTCTTTCCTCAGGATGATATTCATCTTCAATTTCTACAATGAGAAATTTCTCCTATTGAACTTTTCAATATCAAATTTCATTGCCATAACTTTTATTACGGATAGCTCCCACTATTTCACTATCGTGAATAGTTCTCGGAACCTTCAAAGAATGAGTAATACCTTCTTACTTTCTTATGTTAGAGGATCTACTTTTTGGTTGCAATCACAAAGACAATAAGTAGATATTACACACTCAAATTTGGCTCTGATACCAATTATTGTGAAATACAGCTATCGGATAGAGCAAAATCGCAACTGATAATTTGAGAAAATAAAAATGAAGATAAAGAAGACACAAATTTTACGTGGAAAATCTCTAAATAATATAGGGTAAAAACCACGGGCAACAGTAGAAGAATTTCACTATGAGAAAATAGGAATTACAACTTCTCTCAATCTAACAAGGAGAAAACAATAATAATTCTCTCTTGATAAAAAGGAGAAAACAACTCTCAAGAAAGCTCTCTAAATTCTCTAGTATTGTGAGAAAGCTAGAATGATTTGGGATGATTTTGAAGCTAAATGGGTTAGGGTATTTATAGTTGAAGATTAAAGAATAATCTTGTAAATACCCAAAAGTGTAGGGATTAAATTTGTAATTTTCCCCTTACCCAATTTCAACAAAATCAGCTAATTTTTCCTATAATTACGGTGTGCACCGAAAGCCACCGAATTGCAATTTATTTTGACAATTTTAGTTGCCACCTTTTTTTGACTTTCAACAGTTTTCTCCATGACCTCAACTTTTAGCTTCAAATCTTGAGCCAATCTCTGTTTATTCTTAAACGCATTTTTGATAGCCTCCAAGTTAGTTGTAATTGGCTCAATTTCGGCAATAGAAGATTGGTCCTTCTCCTTTTCATCTTTAGATTGACATAACAGTGAGGCAGTGTTTTTCAGCAAAGTCAGTACCTTCCCGTGACTAATGGTGGTTGATTCCATTTTATCCCTCAAATCATTGAAACTACTCTTCTCCTCCAAAAGAGAATGATGCAACCTATCCATCAGCATGTTCACATCAGTCCACAGATCACTTACATCTTCTTGTAGATCAGAATTTTCATTTTCACCAGTAACTTTTTGTGCAAGAAAGTCCAGAATCTTCTTATGCATATTCTTTAGTTCCTTCTTATTCAGTTCAATCTTGCTTCTCAAATCCCCAACTTCTTCGACCACATCTTCAATGTTTTTCTCCAACAAGTCGTTCTTCTTCCCCGTTAAATGCTTCATCTTCTCAAGTTCATCTTTCAGAGTAACAATTTCTTCATCAAATTACCCTCATTTCTTCTGTTTCATCAAACTACCTTCATTTCTTGTGGAAGATTGGCCGATGTTGAATCCTTTGGTTTTGGAGGTTCTTGAGGTCGGTTTTGTTTCTTGGAGCTTTGGTAGTTTCGTTTAGATTTCTTTTTGGCCATTCTTGGGACTATGGGAGATGGATGTGAATCATTAAAGGTGGGGTTTTTTTTATGGTGGAGAAATGAGATGTGACAGACTGATAAAGGGAGGAAGTACAAGGTTTTTATAGTGGAATGGTGTGGCTATATATATATATATATTACATGTGAATTTGGTATCTTGTTTAATGATCAAGTTTTTAAGTTTATAATTGAAATTTTCATTTTAAAAATATTATTAATCTACTTTTTTGTAATTAAATTGCTATTTATTATTTTTTGGGAGAGTGTTTTTGTTCATCTTCACAACCAAAGGTAAACTTGATCCTAATGCAGAAAAAAAATGTTTTTGTTGGTTATAAATGTTATGATTCGAGTGATAGGAAGCTGATTGATACAAATGGATGTCATTTTTGTTGATACACAACCTTACTTTGATTTAATCTTCATGGAGGGAATTATAGCAAGGGAGTTTCGAAACTTCGATAGAAAAGAGACTATAAATATACAAATAATTTTAAGACTTAATATAAGTTTTTAAACTATATCGTTTTTCTCATTTAGGTATCAAAACTACTTAAATCAAGGTTGTCTTAAAACATCTTTTGAGTTGTTCAAAGGTTGGAAACCGAATTTGCACGATATACACATATGTGGATGACCGTATGAAGTGAAAGGTTATAACCAAATGTCAGGAATATCCCTGAATTGAGGATTGCTCTACAAGAGAAATAGGGAAATAGAAGAAGGAATAGAAGAAGATAAAGAAAGTGGTTGGTAGTTCATTACACCCATTTCCCTTATTTATATAGACTTTCGCTTTAGAAACGAACAAAATCAGTTAAGACTGTTGTACTACCGATTATGGTATTGAATCCGCTAACTGTCCTTGTGTCATGCCATTTACCAAGCTCATAACAGTATAACATCCAATAAGGTTATGTTTGAAGCTACAGTGTGTATAACATAATAACTCCATTATATAATTGAAAGTGAGCTTAGAAGAATGGGAAACTAGGTAACTCAAGGAGAAGTAACTACAATCGAATGCACATTCTTACATGGAGAAAATCTGCTCTTTGGGTGAAATTATCGCGTTCTGATTTTGAAGAACATGTATAGGAAGGTTGAATATATTCATGAAAATTATGACAACTGAAGGAAGGCAACTATTGATTCAATTCAGCAATAGTTATATGCATGTTGTGTTTGATTTCAGAGTAAGAAATCGATTAAGTCTCAGACTATTTGCTTTATATTTTAGCATCTTTAATTGTCATTTAAGTTAGTCTTTTGTTTTAGCCTTCAAGAGCTGGAAAAATTCTAAAATGCACTTTTATTGTTTGAAAAATCTTGTTGAAAAGCATCATGTGTATTTAATTCCAATCTCATTATGCATGAGGACTGTTATGATGTTGCAGCGTCGGTGATCTTTATTCGATAACGCAAGGTCGATAATCTCTTGGTTACCCTTGGATAAAATATAGGAATATATCTTTCGCCTTATACAATCCATGTGAATCAGCACCTTAACTTGTGCTTTGATTACTGAACTCATATAGGAATATATTGATTTTAGTTTAAAGGGTTTAAAGACTTAATTATCTGAAGAGACTGAAATTCGATTGAGGGACTCGCATTGCTCAAAGCATTTTTTCTGCATATTGCAGTTGAAGCAACATGAACAATCCTACCTCCTTAATCAAACTTTATTTCAATCCATGTTCTACTACATTTATTACTTTCTGCCATCTTTTCATTTTAGTCTTGATTTTGTTTATTTATTTCTTTGCATAGGCACCATTCATTCAAAGATTATTAGTAATTGATTTCTGAAATTCAACCCCTAGCCTGTAGAGAAGATGCTCAACTCATTATTGTGTTACTTGTTCGATTGTGTGCTCTTGTGTTTATAATTTGCCTACATCTTGTGGATTGGAGCAACACTACTTAACATGGCAGTCTCCCTTACCACACCGAGGTATTTTCCCAAATCTGTATCAACCCGAAGCCCAAACCTAGACCGGATCTCATCTCGAACCTACACACCCATACGCCACCCACCTTGGTTTATATTTCCTCATGATCATCACATGCACCAAGCGCCATCCTCAAATTGTATGGAACTTGCACGATTACGATGACTTCTTACCATCATGGATCTAGATGGAAGTAATTAGTGTTATGGTCTGCATTAGAAATCTACATGTTTCTTGATTTTTGAAGCTAGAAACTCTCCTTTTCAAGATTGATGAGGAATGGCAAACATGATGACTCAATGGCCTTCTCAATACCCCGGATTCTAGCTAGCAACAAAACATACACTTTCCAATGTGCCTAAAAGACTCACCATTCTAAACTTAAGCTTTAGTCATGAAGTTTTCAACATTCTACACAGCATCTACATCCTTCTTCCGTACCCGATTAAGGAAATCAATGAACTGTGCGTGTGCTTGTACGCGTCAATTATGTTGGACTTCGAATGGAATAATAGAGCTCGAACGTTTCTCTATAAAATTCAAATGTTCTTCTCTTAATAAGTTTTATTTAAGGATAATATTTTCACTTATATCATGTTCATTTCTTGCTTCTTCATTTCTGTGTATATGGTCTATGATCAATTAATGAAAGGCATGCATCTTTATTGGAGTGATCAGAGCGATATGAGCAGCAGCCATGATCAGAAGCCAGTGGGCTTTAATTAGCTTAGTGGATCCCGATGATGATTGTTGGCCTCATCGGATTCTTCTAGTCAGTACAGGCTTCGACACCAGTGATGCTTTCGCTCTCCTTTATCTCTTGAAGAAAGACAATACAATTCGATTTGCAGGTGAAGTAAACAGATCTGGGTCTTAGAACCTTTCTCCCACACACATCGTCCAATACACCAAAATACGAGCGACACCCCATATGCGCTTACATTAATCAAGAGAGGGAGAGGCGGAAGCGCAGCTTTAATCTTAAGCAATATATATACTTGATCATTGTTTATCAATAAAGATGTTAAACAATTTTTTTATGTGCAAGGGAATGCCAATTGTAACAGCGGCCTTAGAAAAGCTTTCCTTTACTATTACAACAATTACAAATATGAAACACTAACATATAGGAACATGCCCTGAGGTTTCTTCAAAAAGAATACTATTTATTACAGAGCCAAAAAAAATCAGAAGTAGCAACATAGCATATTAGTCAGAAGGCTTTCTCCATTGATCTTTTAGTTACTAATCGATCAAATCACTCATCTTCATTTTGTAGCATACGCAAAGGCTACTGCAGCCATAATAGTTGATGATGAGACAAATTTCAAGAAGCTATTTTTCTTGTGCGATTCCACAATAGTTTTCTCCATAGCCTCAGCTTTCAGCTTCAAACCTTGAGTCACTGTCTCTTCATTCTTAAATGCTTGCTTGATTATCTTTAAGTCAGTTGCAATTTGTTCAACTTCCTCTTCAGGCTTCTTGTCCGCTATAGGAGCTTCTTCCTTCTCCTTTCGAACTTTTTCATCTGTAGATTGATACAATAGTGAGGCAGTGTTGTTCAACAAAGTCAATAATCGTCCATGACGAATGCTGGTTGATTCCATTTTTTCCCTCAGATCGTTGGAGCTACTCTTCGTCTCCAAAAGGGAATTCTGCAACTTAACTAACAGCCTGTTCACAACAATCCATAGAACACTCGCATCTTCTTGTAGCTCACAATTTTCACTTTCACCAGTAGCTTCATCTCCAAGAAAGTCATGAATCTTCTTCAGGATATCCTTCAGTTCCTTCTTGTTCATGTCCAACACTGTTGTAGCTGCATCCCTTTCCTCTAATGACTTCTTGATTTCTTCAGCAAGTTTCCTCTCATTTACCTCCATTACCGTTATCATCTCTTTCCTTAAACTGCCCTCATTCCTTGCAAAATCCATCTGTTTATAGACCAAACTAAACTCTTCTCTTTCATTTTGAAGACTATCTAATAGCTCGTTCGCCCTACTATCCAACGCCTCAATCACCCTTTCTGTCCCAACAACCATTTGCCTCATCTGAGTCGCCATATAGACCCAAAGCAACTCGTGTTGCAACTCCAAGCTCTCACTTTCATTCATCGTAGCCATAATGAATTCAATGTATTGATACAATAATGGAATACGTTGCTCCTTTTCCTCGATCTCATTGAGGAGCTTATCTTGAAGAGACTGAAGGTTTTGTAGTTTCCGACTAGGATCTTCCATGGAAGATTTGCTGCTGGAAGATTGCGTAAAGGTTGAATCTTTCTGATGTTCTTGAGTGTCCTGAGGTGGGTTTTGTTCCATTGGGTCTTTGGATTTGTTGGTAGATTTCTTTCTGGCCATTCTAAACAGAACTGGAGATGATGGATAAAGAAAGGAGGGAATTCTTGAAAGGGTTCAAATCTGGGGATCCAAGAAGAAGTGCTGGGATTTTATGGTGGAATGGTGTGGCTTAGTAGATGTAATCTCTTGCAATATTATTATAAAGAAAGGAAGGATAGTGAGGGTGGCTATGGCGATTGTGGTTAACAAAGAGAATGGGAGGGGAAGTTGAGAGGTTAAAGAACAATATATGGAAATTTAATTAAAATTTTAAATCTAAATTTAATGATGATTAAGAAAAAGTTGTTGACATGTTTCAATACTATTGGCTGGGTTCTTATACTGCACGGTAAGACGATTTATAAAATAATATTTCCTAATGATCCTTGTGAATTTTATTTTAAAAATATTATTATTTATCTACTTTCAAGATTATCATTCTTTCCAAAAATCTTTTTGCTTATGTAAAGATGGAAATGAACATTAAATGTCAAATTAATTACATATAGAATCATTTTCTTTTTACTTTCCACAAGCAAAAATCAAGCTGACAAAAGCTCGACATAATCCAAAAATATGAAGCACTGACATATAGGAACATTCCCTGAGGTTACTTCAACAAGAGTACTATTTATTACAGACCAAAAGATCAGAAGTAGCAACATAGTATGTTGGTCATCAGGTAATTGTCTGCATTGATGTTTTAGTATGAAGAACTTGTGGTCAGAACAAAGTTAACCAATCGGTCATATCAATCATCTTCATTTTGCAGCATAGCCAAAGGTTACTGCATCCATAGTAGTTGTTGCCAAGGAGACCGATTTCTAGAAACTATTTTCTTTTGGGATTCCACAATAGTTTTCTCCATAACCTCAGCTTTCAGCTTCAAATCTTGAGCCAATGTCTATTTAAATGCGTGTTTCGTTCCATTTCTTCTTCACGCTTCTTTTCGGTAAAAGGACCTTCTTCTCGTCCTTTCGATCTTTTTCATCTTTAGATTGACATAACAGTGAGGCATTGTTGTCAGCTAAGTCGATACTTGCCCATGATTGATGGTGGTTGATTCCATTTTAGCCCTCGAATCATAAAGGGAATTCTGCAACCTATCTATCAGCCTGTTCACAACAGTCCACGGATCACTCACATCTTCTTGCAGCTCAGAATTTTCGTTTTCACCAACTTTTTCTCCAAGAAAGTCTACATTCTTTTGCGTATCCTTTAGTTCCTTCCAACACTGTTCAAGCTGCATCCCTTTTGGACTGAACAAGAAGGAACCAAAGGATATCCAGAAGAAGATTGTGGACTTTCTTGAGGAGTTTCTTGGAGACAAAGTTGCTGCTGGGAGTGAAAATTCTGAGCTACAACAAGATGTGAGAGATCTGTGGCTCACTGTTATGTCAATCTAAAGATGGGAAATATCGAAAGGAGAAGGAAGAAGGCCCTATTGCCGAAAAGAAGCATGAAGACGCAATTGAACCAACTGCAGTATTCTTTTTGAAGTTCCTCATGTTTGATATTTCTATGTTCAACTTCTGAATACTAATCAGCTCAACAGGCTGGGTTAGATTGATGTCCTATATAACATACTACATATTGATGGGCAGCAATGACATTCCAGTTGGTCTTGGCGAAGCATTTTCAATTGGGCAAGCTAATCCATATTTCGCCACGATCGGAGACTGCAAGTATTCCAAGCCTATCCCTCATGTTGGTGGCGGTGGTGGTTACTTGGAATCCAACACAATATATGGACTTGCTTGTGATTTACCTCGAAGTCCAACACACTATATGGAATATCTAAACTGACGTCGAATTTCAATATCAAAAGTGTAAGATTTCAAAATTATTAAGGTAATTTTAAAACTCATAAACTCACTCTAATATAAAATAATTCTTCGTTGGTTATTAATCTAAGGTTTCGTTTACTAACGTAAAAGCACCGTTTTCTATTTCTTGGTTTGAGTCAATTAATCACTTTTTAAACATAAATTCTTTGCTGAAAATGAGTTGTTTGTGAATGCTTTATACGGCTTAATGCATTGTCTTGGAATGCTTAGACTTGGTTTTTGTTAGGAAGGAAAGGAATCCCGAGACTCTGCATTGATTATCAAAAAGTCAAGTGGAATGATAGTAAGGAACAAGTACATACTTTTGAAGATCAATGATATGATCGGTAAATGACAAGTACATACCGATGATGAGAGCGATATGGCCAGCAGCCGTAATTACAAGACAAGGAGCTTTAGTTAGCTTAGTGGAGCTCAATGATGATCGTCGGCATCATCCGATTCATCTGGTCACTACAGACTTTGGCACCAGTGATGTTTTCGCTCTCCTTTATCTCTTGAAACAAGACAACACGATTCGGTTTGCAGATGAAGTAAACACAGGGTCTTAGAACCTTTCTCCCATGCCGTCGTCTACCACACCGGAATACGACTGTTGCCCCCTCTGCACTTACATTAAATGCAGATGGAGCCTTTGACCCAGTTTCTCGAACCGCGGCTGTGGGAGCCATTGCTCGAGATACGCAGGGAGGTGTCCTTGGAGGTTTAGCTATTTCCTCTACTGGGTGCTTCGAGCCCGGGCTTGCTGAACTTCATGGTCTTGCTGCAGCTGTTACCATGGCTCTAGAAGAAGGCTGACAAAACATGGTGTTTGAGCTGGATTCTGTAACAATCCGGATATTTTTAAAATAATATTTAATTGAAATTGGAGATTTTAATTGTGAAAATCGGTAAATTGTGGGGACTAAATTGAAAAATTTTAAAACTTGCAGCTTGTTTTAGAGTTAAAGAAAATTCAGGGACCAAGCCCTGAATTTACCCAAGAAAGTTAGGTATGTTATGTTATAAACGTGGTTTTCTGTTTCAAAACAGAAAACCACACCTCAATTGCTCCCAAATTCCCTTCCCCCTACGCCGGTTTCCGACTTAGATCCCGACGCCGTCTGAATTTTGATCGTCGTTTTGAAATCACCATCGTGTTCGTTATCGAGTCATGAATAATTCCCTTAAATTAATTGAAGCGAAACGTTGCCAAACGTCGGGAATTTCAAGTCAAAGCATCGACGTTTTTTTTTAGCTCTATCGCCGGGAAAATCTCAAATTTACCGCCAATCGTTGCTCCGTTTACGACACCTCCTGCACCATCGTGTTCCTTGTGCCGTTTCGAGTCCGCCGGTATCATCCTCGGTCTCAGTCGACGACGGCGCGTGAGAAGGTGGAGCAGTCAAATATTCGGCCGAGTTGAAATCGAGCTCTCCACCGTTCAAAAATTTGAACCGATCTTTGTAAGTATCTCGAAATCGCTCAAAATAATTTTTAGAAATTTTTCCGGGATTTTTAGAGCCCCAGAGGAGGTCTCACGCGCCACACGCGCCGCCGCAGGGAGAGTGAGCAGCTGGAAAACCGGTTTGACCGATCTGACCAACCGACTCGACCCGACCGTTGACCCGATCCGACCCGACCCGACCGTCGACCGTTGACTTTCTTTGATCAGAACCTTAAATGGCTTTGACCGACCCTTAAACGACCGTAAATATTTTCTGAGTATACCTATTCTAATAGTTTTCGACGTCCCGAATCCGTTTCCGAAGTCCGTTTCACCAAATTTGAACCCGAAGGCCTCCAAATCGACGGTCAAAGTGGTTGACTTTGACTTTGACCAAGAATTTAAATTTTCGAAAAGACATACTTTATGTTTTTCGACGTCCTGATTCCGATTCCGCAATCCGTTTGGCCAAATTCAAACCCAAATCCTCCAAATTGATAGTCAAACCCTGAAAATACTTATATACTTAAGAATTTAGCTTTGAATAATTAAGTAAGATTTGGGGCTGATAAATTATTATTGTTTGAAGGTACAAGAGACTCTCCGGATCGTTCGACAGCTCGACCCAGCTCTTCTAGATCAATTAAACCACGTGTGCCAGTATTCACCCGTAAGACCCGTAAATTTTATGATTTTAGAGATTTATTTATGTTACCCATAAGTAATATAGTGTTATTATAAAATAGGTTCGAAAACTGTAGCAGAGCGTGGTGAAACCAGCAATCAATAGATCTACTATTTGAACCTATTATCGAGGTGTGTTCCCTAATTATTACTGAACTGTTTTATTGGTTTTAATATGAGGTACACTGAGTTCTTTGGTTACTGTTTTATTGATGCACCAATTTAATGTGATGATTTATGGAATTTGTGTCACGGTGCAATTGAACTTTTGGATTGAATTACAATAGTATAGCTCTGATCAAGCTAATAAACAGAATGGGCTTAATGTTTGGGGCCCCAAGATACATTAGGTTGGCTTCCCTTGCTGTGTGCTTAGGGTAAGCTATATGGACTTGGACTTACGGGCCTAAGGATACAAGATCTAAAGTTTATCCTTAGGTTAACATTCTTTTTGATGTGTGCTTAGAGTAAGCTATATGGAAAATAGTTTTGGAAATTACTAATGGTGTACAAGAAAAGAGTTTAAACTATGATTTTCAAAAGTTAAACTCTTTTATGAATTTATGAGATTTACTGGACTATGATTTGATTATTGTACCTATTGTGATTTTATGGTAATGTGGGACACACTGAGCCTAGCTCACCTTTCGAAAATGTTTTTCCCCCTTTCAGATATTGTTGGTTAGATACCCCGGATTGAGCACTTGGAGGATCAACATATCTCTTGAAGTATATCTGATTGTAATGTTTTATCTTGCTAGTTGACTTTATTTTGGTGACATGGACCTTATTTTAAAGTATCATATTTTAGGATGATGACACTTTTGTTATTACTGTTCGGTTTATTGTGATTTTGATTTTGAAGACCTGTTTTAAATTAATTTGTTACTTATTGGTATTATATTTACAAGTTGGGTTTTGATAGTATAATATCATGTCATTTATAATGTGATTTTACAATGATTGAATAACGGTTTCAGAAAATGTCTTTAAGAATCATGTATGTGATCCACTAGACTTAGTCGAAACGCATAGGCCGGGTCTAGTGGGTGACAGATTCCCTT